AATAACATTATGATTTTATTAGATAAAAGTGTTGTCTGAAGGCTAGATAATGAGTTACTAAGCTATGACTCAGCAATATAACTACTTTTTATATTTATAAAATTGTTATATAGTGATTTCAATAAATATTATTATACGAAAAAAAAAAAAGCAAGATATAGCAGATCAACTGAACCTCAATTTATGAAAAATCAAGAAGTAACAAGTGGAAGTGTATGAAAGAGAGGACTCACTTCATCAAATTATGTATTGGATATCCTTCATTTGTCTTAGTACAAATACTATAAAGTAACTTCTGCTATTGATAAGAACTATTGACCAAAGGACATAATTCTCTACATCTTAGATTCAACTTCAAATAAGGTCTTCAAGGACCCAATCTCTATAGCTATCACATGTACAAAGCAAAATATACTCTGATCTTCGATCCAATAGATTTACTGAGTGGTTTTATTAATTTATGAATATTTATAATATAAAAGCTATAGATTTTATCTTCAAGTTAAGACATCCAACATTTGATTTCTTCATGAGTATCACTGTTAGGTCTATTATAATATTTGGATATAAATCATGAAATTGTTAAAAAGTTTATAAGATTATCTTGGTTTATACTAAGTATATGTTTATTACTTCAATTATCTAATACATCATCAGCCCCACAAGCCCAAGACGTTCAAGATGTTACAAAACTTGATGATTCTCATAGAAATTACCAAGATAAAATTCCAACAGATCATACTTCTATAAGCGGAGACGTCAACAATCCAAATAAGCTGAAGGTTCATGATCATGATTCATTGAACATGGAAACTAATGAACACAACAATTCCAAAAATGATATAGATATGCTGGTGGTATATTTGATAACAGGTTTAATTTGGACGTCCCTTTCAGGGCTTTTACTCGCCATTCATGCAGACACTACCCCCGATCATGATCCTCATGAAGGGTATAAACAATATATATATTATGAAGCAAGATGTAAATTGATTATTCAAAATGGTAAAAGAAATAATGAGTTCTTACTATGGACATGGATGAAAGTCATAATTAGTTTCAAGACTATAGGAATTGTTATATTGACATTCTTTTATTTACCGTGAGTATAAAATATGAGCTACTTTTTTTCTCAAGTATTAGTGTTATTATAGAGTTGTAAATATGAATATTAACAGTTGAATAATTCACAAGAACTTCTATCATTATGGGAATTGCTTATCTTTTCGTCACATATTTAAGATATATGTTGGCAGTCATGAGTTAATTTTCATAACTGAAGAGTATCAAATTGGTCATCAAGTTTCCAATGAAAGAGATCCAAAATCAAATGTTGTAACAAGGTCACAAATTTATTCACATCGTTATAGTAAACAGGCATTATTACATGTTTCCAGAATCTCAACATTACCACCTCATGATACTTACAAAGTTTTAACTCCCGATCAATTAAATACACCAAAATATGAAGAATTGAGAACCCAAGAACTTTGTTTAATATGTCTTGAGTCATACAGATTTAACTATGAAAATTTAGTCAAATTACCTTGTGCTCATACTCTTCATCACAAATGTTTTCTCAAGACAAGGCAGTTTAATGGGGATAGAACTGATGTTGAAAGACCAAGTATGAAATGTATTACTTGTCAATTAAGTTTGATTAAGTATCATCAATATCTTGCTGATTATAACTTAGATTATGAGAAAGTTAAATTTATTAATAAGTGATGGATAATTGCATAAAGAACTTGTTCATGAGCATACATATGAAGTGTTTACATACATTGATGGCTCATTGATGCAACAGTCTATCATTGATGAACTATATATCTAATTAATAAAGTGAATTTTTTTGTTTTTGAAGTAATATATATAGAACGGAGTTCCGAAACATTGATCGAGTAGCCTCATAAGCGACAATCTATTGTAAGAGCATAAATTTGTGGATGAATATATATCATAATGATTATCCATAGTCCATTTAAATGATATTGTGGAATGGAAAATAACTCATCAAATTTCCAAACGATCAATAGCTATTGTTTATAATATTCTCAAAATTGATCGCATCGGCGCCAGAGCATAAAATTGAGTAGTTTTAATATTATGATATAGAAGCCAACTTATCAGCTCATCAGCGATCTTCTGATCATTTAAAATCCAAAATTTCTTTGAGTATCATCTAAATTCATAAATCGATATACAAATCATGAAGTTGTTAAAAATCACACTAACTATATGCTTATTATTCCAATTATTGATGATATCACCAGTTGATTCTCAAACCCAAGTTCAAGATATTAAAGCGTTTGATGACTCTCAAATAAACTCATGTGAACTTTCAGCAGATTATACTCTCAAAACTGAAGATGTCAACAATCCAAAAAAGTTAGAGGGGTATGACGATAAGCGTGGTTCATTAAAATCAAAATCAAATAATGAGAAAGCTA